CTATCTTTGAATGTCATTTATCATAGAAGTGTAATAGTGACTCACCATTAAGTAATGTAATATAGTGAGTTATTCTTAGAGTATATAATAGTGGTGCAGCATCCTTTAGTATTAGATACTTATTTACTTCGGGATATTACTTCATCTTTCTTTTAGTATTTTAGTGCGGTTATAGTGTCTTTCTAGTATATTCCCAATAGTGTGAGTAATAGCGAACCCCATGACCTTCCCAGTCATGCATAGTGTAGTAGAGTAAAAGCATCCCTGGGCCTGAGCGGCTCGGACTGAAGTTATCAGTCGGGATGTAATAGCGTCTGCCCCGTATAGATCTATACATATAGTGTCGTCTTCCTATCGGAAAACTTCGGGCATAGTGATAGCGTATAGAGTATCCCGTAGTGGATTAGTGAGTTATCTCATGATTAGTGCATTCTCTTGTATTATAGTGTAGTAATCTTTCGTATAACTTGTATTGTATTCTCTTATTAGTGTATTGCTTCATAATATAGAGAATTATAGTAGTGTAGAGTAATAGTGGAAACTAGGGATAGAGTCCTTAACTATACCCATTATAGTTAATTTAGTGTATGTGGTTCTAGTCAAGTAGTGATTCAGGTAATTAATGAATTAAGAAGTACTCATAATCTGTACTAATATATGAGATATATAATTAAGAAATCAATGACAGTCGGATGGATAACTACTACCCTAAGTCCACAATCAAACAAGAAACAGGAAATAAGGCGAGCTATCGGTCCTAAGTCTTTCAAGTCTTACTTATATAAATATATTAGTATGATTACATTCTTATAAAGAGTTTTATTTAACAAAAGTATTGTACGAAAGGAACATTTAAAACTTGTTTGTTAATCCAAGATAGTTTTGAAAACAATTGATTTATTTATAAAGCATAGTGATAAATCACATGTGATTTGAACTACAGATTGTGAATCACATGTGATTAACTCTGAAATCTGAAAAATAGTCTTGTATAACTTTTCATAAACATGTATATTCAACTTGTATCTCCCCCTAAAACATATAAAACATTTGAAAGGTTCATTAAGGGGTATGAACTCACCTGAAATCGCGGAAATCGGGTAAATCGGGTAAAAGTGTCGATTGAGCGTTTGGTACCCAATAACCTCTTGAGCACCTCCTAGGACCCTAATGTCATATGAAATATGTATTTTACAAGAAGTTAATCATCTTATGCTTTTCATTATAGTATTTGGACATTCTAGCATCGTTTTCGGGGTTTTAAGGCCTAGAAGGGGTTCCCGGGAGTGGTACAAAGTCATGAATGATTTACGGGAGGGTTCACGAGCTCACTCTTTTGGAGTTTATGGCCCAAAAGCCATCCTTTGGGAGTTTACGGCCGTAAACCCCCTAGGTTTGGCCGTAAACTCTTGTGGCACTCCAAAGTGTATGTTTAAGGTCTTATTTCACTTCCTTGATTTAGTGGTATGTGTCTTGGACTATTTTAAGGGATTAAACATCATAATTTGTGACATTTTTGGGGAGTTTACGGCCAAGACTTGTTCTTGGGCCGTAAACTCTTGTAAACCCTTCAAGATGTATGTTTTATTGGTACAACAAAGTCTCATACACCTTAGATAAATCCTAGAAGGCCATATAGTGAGTTTGGGACAATTTGGCATATATTTTTGGGGAGTTTACGGCCCAAGAACATCCTTGGCCGTAAACTCTTCATTTTGTGTCCAAATGTGAAGTTTAATGGTACAACACACTTCCAAAGGCCTTAGCTAAAATCCTTACATGCATTTGAGGGGTTTTGGGACTTGTTTGACACAAAAATATGGGTGTTTACGGCCCAAGCTTAGCCTTGGCCGTAAACTCCTCTTTTTGCCATCAAATGATGTTGTTTGATGCATTTAAGCCTTCCTTGTTGTCAAGTCTAAATTGCCAAACACCCTAGATGAGTTTTTGGGACTTTAAACAAGTGTTTTTGGGGTGTTTGAGGTGTTTACGGCCTAAGCACATGCTTGGGCCGTAAACTCCTTTTTACATGTCTAATCCATGTGTTTTAGTGTCCAAACCCTTCTAGATACATGCCTTAATTAGTATACTAGCTTAACATGAGGAAAAACTTGATCTTTGGCATGATTTTGGGGGTTTACGGCCTAAGGAGCTTCTTAGGCCGTAAACTCCTTTATGGTCCTTGATTCTCATGATTTTGGACTCTAAAAGCAGTAAAGTATGATTAGATTAAGTTAGGGGATGAATCCTTACGTTTGGAAGTCGGAAATTCGCGGATTTGGAGTCGATTTCGGGTCTAGAGAGAGAAAGTAGTGAGAGAGAGGTGTAATTGTGGTAAAAGAGTCCAATTGAAGTGTTCAAGTGTTTTTATATGTCTCGGGTATTGTACCCGATACACGGCTACTCGATGCTAAAGTTTAACGGGGTTAAAACTTTTTACCCGGGTGAAGTGGTTGAAACAGTAATACAACTCTATTAGGTTAAACTAGATTAACACGTATGAGTTATATTACTTATAATGATATTAGGACATGCATATAATTAGATATTCGGATATTAACGATTCCAAATATTACATAAAATAACGTACGTTAACGTATTCCGTTAGTGAAAATGGGATTTGTAACGGGAATAGATTTAGGGTTGTCACAAATAAATAGAAAAAGTAGTTCCCATAAGCACAAAATATTCTTTAATAATCTAAAGTAACAAATAACCAATAAAACTTAATCCTAACCATAATAAGTCAAGCAAACCTGCACTAAACGAAAATCATTGGGTTTTAGCCTATGATTTCAGCAATCAAACACATAAAAACGAAATTCATTGTAATAAACATGATTAAACTAAAGTAGAAAATCGAAAAGAAGGGTTTTATTGCCTTAATGCTCTCAATTCCCAAGCTATGATCGATTTCTTCACTTCCAAGCTTCAAAACGAATACTTGGCCTTCAAAAATCGACAACAGAAAAAGTTATAATATCGGAGGAGAATGGCTTGTATTTATACTTTCCCTATAACAGATCACCATGACGTGGTAAGTCCACCACGTCGTGGCCTTCGTGGTTATCTTGTATTCAACAAGTCTTCTAAATCAGTCAGAAAAGTCCAAAACACCACATCGTGGGAATGTCACCACGACGTGCTAAATGTATTTTTTTCTTCATTTTAAAGTCTTGATACAAACTCCTAGCTTCCAGCCTCTAGTTTCTAGCTTTCTTTTTGCTCAAAGCATGTCTTTTACCCCTACAACACAATATATATCAAATTAAGTATCTTTTGTTCTATAAATAGCATAAAAGTAACTAAAATATTAAGATATGATGTAAAATTATATGTATAAATATGCACATATCAAAATACCCCACACTTATTTTTTTCTTGCCCCTAAGCAAATTGATTTATTTTCCCAATATTGCAAAAACAATCATTTTAAACCCAACAATTATCCCAAGACCGAAATGCATGTATTTGTGTCTATGGTTCCTAAAAACCTTCCATTCCCAAATACTTACAATCCTTATGAACCTTCACCCCTTAGTTTATACGACACTCATTTTTGCAACCCTCCGAATCTATCCTCAGAAATCTTTCCTAACCTCAAGATATTTTTGGTTAAACTACTAAGCATACATAAATTCTAGAAAAATCACAACTTGATACCACAATGGAGCTCTTTGGAATTCGTCTCTTCTTTGATATTTTCCTTTCATTTTTTTTAATTCACCATCTTTTTTTGTTTGATTTTTAATATCTTCAACTTTCAGATTTCTTCAAAATTTTTGATATTTGGATCTCATACTTTGGATGCTCTAAAATTCTTTCAACTTTTGGTAATTTCTCTCTTTTTTAGTATATATATCTCACTTTTTTCACTGAAGTCCTACATGGTTAAGCAAAGAGCTTAACTTCAACCTTTATTGGTTAGAGACATTAGTCTAAGTGCAATGACTACAAAAGCTCTCCTAGATAGATTTCAAGTACAGACTGCAAAACATATTATGCCATATAAACTACCATATTATCTTTCATATCTCATGGCTTTTCACTAATAATGGGAAGCTACAAATACACTATAACATGTGTTGGCTCGGGTAAACATTTGAGCTCTTATCGGATCATCCCACCCAATACTAGCAAAAATTTTAATTAGATAGATTTTCCTAAATCAAAATGTTATTTCAAGTTTATATGAATGCATATTTGTGAAAACTAGCAATGCAAATTTTGAAAAGTAAAATGTTTTTTTTTTTTCCTAATGCAATATACCCCTACCCTACACTTATTTGATGCAATGCCCTCATTGTATGCTATGCAAGACATAAAAGTAAATAGGAGGAAAAGTAATAGACTCTATTGGGATAGAAGATGAATCGTGAATTGTGTTGCTCATATGTAAGATCACTCTCAAATAAGTGTGAAACCAGAAGTGGTTGACCCCTAGATGACTTGACTTTAGCATTTGGACACTTATACTTTGTAATGTATATGATAAGACTCAAAAATCAGACTCGAGAAGGCACCACCTCACGGTGAGAGTTACCACGTCGTGGTGGGTGGATGAAAAAACAATTGTTTTATGTAAGCAGCACAACGTTGTAATTAGAGTTACCATGTCATGATGGTAAAAATACAAAAATATGTGCAATATGCAGCAAATTTCTTCAATAAATTTGTCACCAATAAAGCTATGCATTTCTGGAAACGTGACTCTTCACTCGGTGGATCAAAATAATGCTTGATATGCTCAAATCTCTCCTCTATTGCTGCTTTTCTAATATTTCTCTTAAACTCATTAAACTCTCGTGAAAATAACTCCTCTCTCAAACTTAAACTTCCTAGGAATCTAAGGACAAGAAAAAAAATGATAAACAAGGAAACAAATAAAAAATACCCAATTCTAAGTTACAATTATCCAAGAAAATAAAACCAAACTACCAAAATAAACCAAAACAAAAATAAATGTCTTAAATCCACTTTAAATAAAATGAGAAAATAAATCACTCTTCATCCTTATCATTATCTCCACCTCCACTTCCGCTCACTCCACTTTGTTGTTCTCGCCATAATTCGTTCCAAATTGGTATGTACGGGTACATGACTGGATAAGCACTTGGTCGTTGAATGTTCAGATATTGCATAAGGAGATCAAAATGCATGTTAGTGTAATTGACACCCCGTCCCAAGTTATACTGATACTGCCATAAAGAAAAATTGTATGGGTCTATAGGAAGCTCATCTTCAGTTGGAATCACGGGTGGTTCATCATCACCCACATCACCACCTTGTTGTCTCACTCGCCTCCTGGGTTGGTTTATAGGGGTATCATTGAGAATGGAATAACTACCATACCCATTATCATCGGCAATATGGACGTGCTTGTATAGAAGTAGAGAAAAAGATTTGTCAGGCTTGATTGTTAAGAAAGAGGCCTCATGTTTTTTGAGGATTCCAAAAGACCGTGCCAACTAGGTTGTTAACATCCCACCATAAAGAGGAGACCCAAGATGATCCTTGCCTGCCCGAACTGCCAAAAATGCTGCCACAAGATATGGAATGTCAACATGAATATTCAGGGTGATGAGGCTCCATAGAAAGAAAACATCCAATGTCAGGACTTTGTCCCCCTCATGTGTCTGGTTTATGGTGTTGGTGATCAACTGTGAAGGATGCAGTGCAAAGGGGACCAGATCTCACTTTCTTGTGCGGTCCTGGAATTGTGTGTACCATTAGCTATAGTCAGTCCAATAAGTGTCGTCCTTGAAACCCTCAGTGGTCTAGATACAGCTAGCAATGAACTCACTATACGATTCGGTGTAAACTTCGAATGGTAAATAAAGTTTTGTACGCATTGCAAATTCGGCCAAGCTCAGCTCGCGCCTCTCGCCTCCCAAACAAAATGTGATGCTCTTGGGCTCATGGATACCAATTTGTCTCCAGAATGTAACTGTTGCCAAAAACTCAACCATTAACTCCTTGTAAACCATTTATTGAATGTGAAATAACCTTCTACATGCCATATATACGAACCTCCCTTGAACCCCCATCAAAAGATTGAACCAAAAATGTTTCAATAGCTTCCTACAAACCTACTTCCTCCATCCAATTCTAGTTGATTGCAGTCCGAACATGTACCTTGCGTTCTTTCATCAAAGCATGCTTTCCATTCCATGAGCTAAAACTTCCGGACCTACTACCCATAGAAAAGTTTACCACGGAAACTTGGTACGACCCCCGGGTTGGTTTCTTCTACCACGGCTTGACATTGTTTGCAAAAAGAATCATAAACACAAAACCAAACAATCAAGTGCAAGTTAGTAATCAAATCAACCAAATTAAACTGATTTTACATTGACCACGATGAGTCGTCGTGGTCAATGAACTGGCTGTGTAACATGTATAGAATCGAATGTATTGCAGTCCAAATCAACTCTAGGTTTTTCTAATCGCATAAAAACATGTAAATTCAAGTAAACTTCAAAGTCTAAACATCAAAATCCAAGTTCAATTTTGACAAAAATCGAAACCCTAATCTTATGAAATCACCCCAAATAATCAGTTTATAACAACAAATGTGCACCTTTAACACTTATGTACTAGATTAATATGGAGAAGAGAAGTAAAAATTCATACATTTTCGCTGGAACAAACGAGAAATTGAAGGAAATTGGAAGGTGATTTCGTGGATGAAAGAGGGGGCATGGCGAGATGAGTGGAAAGTTGAAAAGTAGAAGAAAAATGACCAGTTAGATAACAATAAACCCTAATTTTTACTGCAGGTTAACTGACAACACGTCGTGGTTTTGACACGAAGTCGTGTTGTCTTATTAAAATTCGTGATTTTGCTTTCTGTAAAGTCATCACGTGATAAAAGTAATTTAATTTTGGCCAATTTTTCATAAAAACTTCCACCCTACACTCATGCTATGCTATTTCTCTCAAGAAAACCCATATAAAAGTTCAGAGGAGTGAAAAATCAAATATAAAACAAAATAAAGAAAAATTATTAAAAATAAAGAAAATGTGACATCCCCGTTTTCACGGCCAGAAAAAACCGATTTTGTTTATGCTTAATAAAAATCAGAGTACCTCTTTTAATAAAAATGTTGCGGAATTTGTTCCCAGTAAAACATGATAAATACGTTATCAAGGCATTTCTAAAGAAAAGCATTTTTATTCATTTTAAAACATTTGGGATGTCCTCATCAATACAGAAATATAAGCATAAACATAACTGCCATTCATTATCACTAGTGATTTATATCTCCTTAATCTCTCAGTCTAATGTGACTTCATATCAACACATGTGATATAAATAAACTGAGTGGGTTAGGTTGGGAATCCTGGTGAATACATAGTGTTTTCAACCCACAATAATATAATTATTATGTTTAATCTTCAAACAATTAATCAACCTAATTACCCATCCCCATTATCTTCTTTACTCTTAAGGATCTACCCTAAAAACCAATTATTCCTCGTTCATCTATTCCTAAGGATTATCTTAAGGAATTGGCACGAAGTCCATCATCACTGGGTTTAGGCACTAAGTCTGCATAGTCGCCAGGGTTTATACAATAAGCACTAAGTCCTCATAGTCGCCAGGGTTTAGGTACTAAGTCTGCATAGTCACCAAGGTTTAGGCATCAAGTCTGCATGATCACCAATGTTTAGGCACTAAGTCTGCATAGTTGCCAAGGTTAGAGTACACCAGGTGAACACATCGTTCACAACACCTATAGGTTGCAAGCTTGCTAGTGTTCCACCGGACTGTCTAGAATAGTTTGTGGTAGTCATCCATACTCTGCTAGATGACGAGTCCATCATTTGGTTAAATGGCTTCTCTCATTGTTCACCTCTCACCCTTATCTCATGGTCTATATCACCTCTCATCTCATCATCCGACTCATATTTCATCTACCCATGTTTTACCCAACATATTTTGTATATGTAAAATACATATACATTTTAATTCATTTGAAGCATGTATAAAATCAGTCATCCAACATAGACAACAAGTATTCAGATAATATGCACACATAGCACGTAATTTATATAAAATACTTCATATATATATATATATATATATATATATGTGTGTGTGTGTGTGTGTGTGTAAGATGAAAGTAACTATGCACTCACCTGATAAGGTGGTGACATGGTTTTCAGACAGCACTACGTTTACTTTAAAACAATTTCCTTCGACACAACCTAGTACAATTACCACTAGAGCTTAGTCTAATATTTTACCGAGACTAATTAATAGTCTAGCTATTATTACTATTATATAAGCATTAAACAATACTCTTCACCCACTATGTATAGACAGGGGCCAGACATGAAACACCGGAGAGTAGGATCATTTTCGCATATAGCGCTTCTAAATCCAGCTACCCAAACGGCCCTCCAAACCAGATTCTCCGTACCGTGAGTGGTTAAAAAGATATTACAAGAACACTTATATAACCCATAATAATAGCCCAAATAATTACCATAACGTCATAATAATGTTACTATAATTAATTAAAAGCTATATTAAATATATCGTAGACATAGCTCACTTACAACGGGTTTTCTCGAAAACCGGTCTTCGCTTGGAGCAGCGTTTGCGAACCGAAAGACCCTTTTTCTTAGGACTCCGGGAGCCTCGTGGCTTCCTTCGGGTATTAGGGGCTTACCTAGGCTTAGGGGGGATTAGGGGGCTGAGAGATAGAAAGAGAGGGTGAAAGGTGTGAGAAATATGAAGGATTCACCCTTTATTTATAGGGGTTTTATCGTAGAGTAGTCTCTAAGTTTCGTCTGTATATTCTGTGTACGAGCTTCATTTTCTATGTTCTTTATAGCCATACTTTGGTATTTACAAGTAATACAACTTTCATTTAGACCCCGTCGCCTAATTCTCATTGTAGCTCAGATTCACAAAACTGTATCGAATTCGCTGCGCTTGAAGAATAGGGACTAAGTTTCGTCCATATATTTCTCATACAAGCTCTATGATCTAATTTCTTTATATCCACACATTGGAGTTTACGAGTACCTAAACTTTCATTTAGACCTCGTCGGCTAATTCTCATTCTATCTCCGATTTACAAAACTGTGTTGAATTCGCCTTGCTTGAAGAGTAAAGACTAAGCTTCGTCCATATCTTTCGCATAAGAGCTCCGTTTACAACTGTCTTTTTATTGTTTAACTCCTATTAATGATATCTTCATTTCCCATTTAGATTATTTTTGCTAAAAATCGACCTATCTAAAATTCGAATTTCCAGGCTGTGCACTGTTATGCTAAATCTTAGAAAAATCGTAACTTACTCATATGAAGTCATATTTGGACGTTCTTTTTATTCACACTCTCAGTTTAACATATACTATGACTTTTGTTTAGATCGTTAAGGCTAAAAATAATTTATCATAAATTCACTTTTTACGATTCCCGGTGTCGTGTCAGTTTTGCCGTAAAACTGACACGGATCATAACTTCTTTGTTATAACTCAGATTTTAGCATTCTTTATATGTATGGAAACCTTGTGACATATAATATAACTTGGTCAAGATTATTTAATCTAAATAATATTATATCAAAAAGAGTTATTTTTGACGCTTATTGTCTCTAAATTGACTAACCCGAATCTGCGGATGTTATAATTATCTCCCCCTTATGATGATTACGTCCCGGAATCATCAACGAAATAGGGCTTGTATAATGACTCCATACATTATATTTTCATCCTAGGTAATAACCGTAACTCCTATGTTCCTTCAAATGAGTATCTAACTCTTGGACTTCTGGACTGCAGGCGGTGCTCGATCTTGTGCCCGCTCTCTATCTCACGTTGGACTTTCAATCGTGTCCTTCAAGTCACAATCTAGATTCTTCTTGGAGACTCCTGATCCTTCAGAAATAGTCTTTACTTTGATTACCATAACAGAATGATGGGACATGTTCTAATGACGTCGCGTCGTATGATGCAACGCTTAGACTCATGTCTTTTAGAGTCAAATTCCAAAACAGATTATATCGTCCTTCGTGTTCTAATGTGATATAATCACATTCTAGTATGTAGCACTTCTAGCTACAATCTTATAACCTTAACAACGGTTGTGATACTTCTATTGATCGCTTCGATTATCTTTCACTTCAATCTTTTGAATTAAGTCAGATGCTACATCGATCTTGGTTCTTTAAACCAAATAACATACTCATCTTAGTCGGACACAATTTGATATGACCACTAGGTTCGGATTAACAATCATCTTCTTTGTCATTACCGAAATGATGGTAACGATATACATGAACAAAACAGAGTCAATTACTAGTTCTTTGGTAACCTTGTGACTTTCCTTGATCCAAGTGTGAGTCCTGTGCTTCCGGTAGTATAGGCCTCTACTACCTTTCACACCTACTCATACTCGTCCCAAGTATTGTCTCGTAGTTATCCATGTTATTATCACAAAAACAATTTTAACACATACAAATGTGTCCAAACAATTATATAATTTTCTCTAGACTCTACTAGGACTTCTTCCATGCGTATCTTTGATCATCAATTCTACTTCAACTCGGTTGGTGATGGAAATGCCAGACGATGGGATAACTTCATGGATTATACCAAGAATATTTCTTTCTGCTAAACGAAAGTGTACTTCCCCATACTAGACGTATAATTTATTAGACGCATTCTAAAGGCAAGATATCACTCTTTTGATATCTTCTGATAGGTCCTATTCAGTATCGCAAGCCTTCTCATTTCCTCCATTTACTCAATTCACTACGAGTCTTCACCATGATGTTCTACACACCAAAGCAGTGTTTTGGTGTATCGAGACGAGAATAAAGATAGGAGAAGGTTTAGACGCGTATTCCTCCATATTACCTCAAAAAATTACATGCCAGTTCTAATATCATAATTAAACATTTAGAAATCTAAACACATAAAATTTCCAGATCCAGTCGGCAACAGACCATAGATCCGATCAAACGATAGCATAAAGCATCACCAATTATTAAGCACATAAAAACATCTTAGGCATCTTCCCTAGTTAAGATAGTGCCTATGTCTATTTAAATGTACTTCCTAAAATATATTAGACACACTCCTCACGATCATCACTTAGCATTCTAAGTTTAAGTCTAGAAACAAATCCTTATTCCTAGTTCGCTTAAACTAACGCTCTGATACCAACTGTGACATCCCCATTTTCACGACCAGAAAAGACTGCTTTTGTTTATGCTTTATAAAAATCCCCATTTTCACAACCAGAAAAG